TTCGGAAAAAAAAAAAATCACTCTCCCAATGGGGAAGAAAAAGATGTGATTTTTAATGTGTGTTTCTATCTGGGCAGGGCTTCTCTGTATTGTTCTGTATTTAGGTGGAAAATTAAATTAATCTTTTTTTCGCAGATAATGAGATAAATGATAAATCCGATTTGAAGATTGCACAAAATAGTAGCAAAATCACATTTTCAAGAGCTTGCAAGATACGGAGTACTTTCCTCATTTTCTTCAACATTTCAAGATATTTTCAAATTCAAGTCAATCCATATGATCAATTTGTTTTTTGGTCCGTCCAATGTATGCAATTTGGTAATTAGTATTATTATGGCTTTGTTAGACACAAATCTTTTGTAGTTTTCGGTCCCTAATGTCAAATAAATGTGAGAATTGCATGTGTTACTCAAGTGATGAGATATAATGTTAAGCCCGAGTGTAGATTTGCAGTGTTTTTGATATTTTTTTGTATTTTTTATGGAATTTTCTGAAGAATTTTTAGGAAGAAGATGAGAGTTGGGAGGAAGAGAGAATTAGGAAGAAAGAGAATGTTTGTTATGCCAAAATCTGCATTTTTCACTATCGAAACCACATTTTACCCCATGTGAACGGGTCCCACAAAATAATCCCTAATAACTTGGGCCTAGAACAGACTATAGCACATTAGAAAATAACTACTTAATTACTTGTCTAGCTTGAGCCCAAGTAAAGTGAATAACATAAAAGGTCCAAATAAAATATAAAAACAGTCCAACTGATTATGGTATTACTTCGGTCCATCACGCGCTACTCTCGGCTTCTCTTCCTTCATTTATTGTCAACCTAATTTCTCAATTTCAGATCCAATCTCACTGTTCACCTTCAACAATCCCTTTTTTTCTTCAAAGTCTTCAGCTTTCTCCCCCGTACCTTGTCCACTTTCATCCAAAGGCGCCATCTTTGCTCCTTTGCTAGTCTGGTTCATGACATTACCCCTGTGATTTTGAGAAATTTGACCGCAAGGATCGAACTTTGGAAAACGGCGAGCGAGGAAATCAACATCTTCCCAGGTACCAAGTTGCTGTGGAAAATCGTCCCAGACGACATGAATTTGAGGTACTTCTTTCCCATTTCGTAACACCATTCTTTTTTTCTGTAACTGCAATAGGTGTCATTTTGATGATTTCATCTTCATCTGTGGCAGGTAGTTGAGTTGATGAGTGAGTGTTTGAGTTAAGCCGGTGCTTAAAGAGTGAGCAATGGAAAACAGGGTGGATTTTGGACTCAGCTGGCAGGGCTAATCGGCAAGAAACTGGCCAAATCCTTTCTAGGATAGTGTAAGGGCCGTAGAATTTGGCTGACAGCTCGATGTTCCTCCTTAAGGAAATTAATTGTTGACGGTAGGGTTGCAATTTCAGAAATACTTGCTCCCCTACCTCAAATTATTTGTCCTCCCTCTTGTGATTTGCATAAAACTTCATTCTGGCTTGTGCTTGTTTTAAGTTGATTTTGAGTTGTTGTGCTTGTATCTGTCTTTGTTGCATAAATTCCTTTACATCAGTCTGAGTAGTGTCAAGATAGGGCACCATAGAAAAATTTTGAGGAGGGTAGCCATAGAGAGCCTGGTAAGGAGTCATTTTCAAGCTGGTGTGATAATTGGTGTTATACCAATATTCAGCTAGGGCCAGCCACCTCATCCATTGTTTTGGGTTATAATGGACCATGCCTCTTAGGTTGTTTTCAAGGCATTGATTCAACCTCTCTGACTGGCCATCAGATTGTGGATGGTAGGATGAGGTCATGTTCAACTGAACTCCCAAGAGCTTGAAAAGCTCCTTCCAAAATGCACTAGTAAAAACCTTGTCCCTGTCTGAGACAATACTCACTGGAAGCCCATGTAATTTGTAGATAGAGTCTAGGAATAGGTTGGCCACAATAAGAGCAGTAAATGGGTGAGACAAGGCCATAAAGTGAGCATATTTTGTGTACCTGTCACACTACCATGATAACATCCTTCCCAACTGATTTAGGAAGCCCCTCAATAAAGTCCATGGTAATGTGGGTCCATGCTTGGTCTGGAATGGGGAGGGGTTGCAGTAACCCTTGGTAGGACCCGAGTACGGACTTGCTTCTTTTGCAGTCATCACACTGTTGTACCCATTTGAAAACATCAGCTTTGAGTCCAGGCCAGTAGAAAGCCTCTTTAACCCTCATATAAGTGCCCAACACCCCAGTATGGCCCCCATATGATGAGTTATGCATGGTGGACAGTATAGACTGTTGTAGCTTAGTTCCCTTGCCAATGACCAATTTTCCCTTGTGTCTGATAACCCCCTCAACAACTGTAAATGTAGGGTATGATGTGGGTTGATGATGTTGACAGCTAAAACCTTAGAAAGATAAGCATCTTCCTTGTAGTTGTCTTTCACTTCTTGAACCCAAGTAGGTGTAAGGGTAGAAATGGTCATACTTTCCATATCCCCTTCCTTTCTGGATAGAGCATCTGCTGCTCCGTTCTCAGTCCCTTTCTTGTACCTGATTTCATAGTCCAACCCTAGGAGTTTTGTGATCCATTTCTGCTGGACATGTTTCATGACCCTCTGACCCAATAAGTGTTTCAATGCTTGTAGGTCAGTGTTGATAACAAATTTGTTGCCCTGCAAATAATATCTCCATCTTTGCACAGCTATTAGAACATCAAGAAATTTCCTCTCATAGATAGAAAGAGCCTGGTTCTTAGGGCAAAACATCTTGCTCATATAGGAAATAGGTTGGCCTTGCTGCATTAGAACAACCCCCACCCCCTTACCACTTGCATCAGTTTCAAGAGTGAAAGGCTTGTTGTTGTCTGGTAAAGCCAACACAGGTGCACAAGTCATGGCCTGTTTTAGATTTTGGAAAGTTGTTACTGCCTCAGGACCCCATTTGAATTGGTCTTTTTTGAGTAAATCAGTCACGGGTTTACTGATAATGCCATACCCTCTGATAAATTTCATGTAGTACCCTGTAAGACCTAAAAAACCCCTAAGTTGTTTCACAGTTTTAGGAATGGGCCATTTCACCATGCTCTCTATTTTCTGGGGGTCAGTGGACACTCCTTATTGAGTGATAATGTGGCCCAAGTACTCAATTCTCTCTTGAGCAAATTGGCATTTGCTCCTCTTGGCATATAGTTGATTCTCCTTCAAAATTGTAAGAACTTGCCTCAAGTGCATGAGGTGGTCAGCCCAGTTCTTACTCTATATAAGAATATCATCAAAGAACACAAGCACACACTTCCTTAGTAATTCTCTGAATAGCTTGTTCATTAAAGACTGAAAGGTGGTCGGGGCATTGCAAAGCCAAAAAGGCATAACCAAGAACTCATCATGCCCATTGTGAGTTCTAAAAGCAGTAAGATATATGTGTTCCTTCCATAAGAATTTGAAAATATCCAGACCTGGGGTCTATCTTGGTAAAATATTTAGCTCTCTGTAGCTCATCTAACAATTCATCTATGACTGGAATGGGATAGTCATGTTTGATTGTTAGCCCATTCAAGTACTTGTAGTCCACACACAACCTCCAGATGGCATCCTTTTTCTTGACTAGGATAGCAGGTGAGGCAAAAGGGCTCTTGTTATCTTTGATGATCCCAGCTCGTAGCATTTCATTAACAATTTTCTCAATTTACTCCTTGTGAGTGTGAGAGGATATGTAAAGGAATTGGTGTTTGGGAACACTATTTGGCTTGAGAATGATTTGGTGTTCCACCCCTCTGCTGGGAGGTAAGCCCTTGGGCTCCTGAAATATCATCTGAAATTATTCTAAAATTGCTTGCACCTCTGGTGGGTCACCCTTTCACATTCTTATAGATTCTGCCAGTACACTAAGCTTCATCCAAGCTAGTATAGCTAAGAACCTCAGTTTGGACCTCAAAGAAGCCACACCTACTGTTGTCAGGGTAGCTAATGGGCAGAGGATGTTAAGCACCCAAGT